CTTGTGAGAATGTATTTTGGGGGAGACAACAATCTTGCCTTAATAATAAAAATATGAAATAATGTTTCTGTAATCAAACTGGTCTGTTTTCCTTATGTTGGGGACAGGAGTAAAAACTAACTGAAGAACTAGCTAGGCACAGAATGGGTCATTGGTCTGCTTCCTATTTCTAGTCCCAAGTAAAGAGCAGATATTCTCAATCAGTGCTGAATGGTAAATCAGTATTTAGGTAAATTCCATTGAATCAATGGGTCCACTTTCAATGGGACTACGAACAAGTACATTGGCACTTGAGAAATCCAATTAATTTTAATGGCCTTGACTTGCATGTTATCCCACTTCTGTCCTCAGTGTCTTCAGTGGGGCTAAGTCCTAAGTGATGGTACATCAACTACTACAATATCTTGTTCTGCAGAGCACCCCACCTCACCTTAAAAAGTGTTTGAAAATTGATGATATCAGTTGATGATATACAGTAGTAAAATGCAATGGCTCAGATGTTAGTGAGGAGCTGTCTCGCATAATTTGCCCAAGATCAATTGCTTTGGCTTCTTGTGACTGGGGGATTCTGGGAGCTTCATTCTGAACACATAACTTTCCCAAACTCTGTAATATAAAAATAGACCTTATAAAAGTAGTGAAAAGGGGATAATGAGGCATATTAAAAGCAGATGTATGAGTGTCACCCAAATAATCTGTGGAATGTGAACAATGCCTTCCACAGCACATTCTATAGGGTGTTCAAACAGCAAGGAAGAAAAACTGAAAACGTTTTAGGAGAACGGAAATTCCATTTCCCTGAAAGTTTATTTTGCCCCCACCGTTCTTCCCGCAAGAGTGATCAGTGGCAGATGGCTCCATAAAAGCAGGAGGAAAACTGTCTGCCAAGAACAGACCGCAATAGCTTCTTGGCTTGCCCCCTCCCCTCAGATATCACTGTATGTCCCAAGGATGTGATCAACCTAGAGAACGCCCTGTTGTCCCCAACGATCCTCCCACCCATCATTCCTTAAGAGAACAGTGGTCTGTTGGAGGGGGGGAATTTCCTGGTGGAAGGTGCCCTGACTGCAACACACCCATGCCCAAGCTACGTACTTTGGCCATAAAAGTAGAGAAGGAACCGTTCAACAAGCCCCCTCGGAAGGTACATTGCAACAAGGCTTTCTGGGATTGCTTGGGCCTCACAAGGAGGAGAGTTCTTGGTCTGAGCAGAATGTGTCTTCCCATGAAATGGCAGGTGAGTTACTTGCTTGCCTGAAGAAAAGGACATGATCTCCTACCTACAAGAGCTAACTGGGCTGGCAGTGGAATGTCACTTCAGCCCAGGCAGCGGGAGGGCATCTTCAACTGGGATTTAAAGGTAACTGGTTAATTCAGGGTTTTCAGGGTAGGTCATGTGGTACTTGTAGCACTGTCCTCCAAGAAAGCAAAATGGCCAGGGGACCTCGGAATGAAGAGTTGGGGATGACCGCCCTGTCCGCCCCACCAGTATCTGCTACCTACGCCTCTCTGCCCACAAGCTGACCCCATTTTTAGCATGAGGGATGATTCACCCTGTTCCAATTTATTTATTTATTTTTTAAAAAATATTTGCTAATTCTTCTGACAGATGTCATAGATAAAAGGAAGCCAGGTGGACAGTGCAGAAGATGCCTTTTTCGGATATCTTCGTATCGCATTTCCTTCCCCATTTGGCCTTCAATTCCCTGATTTTTGAAACGATTCCTTATTGCACAGAGGTTGACGCTAACACAAGCTCCACTAAAAGTGTGCATCGTACAATACTTTTGAGCCCCTCAGCTACTTCAACCTTCTCGCCACGATACACCCGCTTAAGCGTGCAAGATAAAATCGGATGTCCTATTAGCAGACTTCCACTTACACAAGTGGGATTTCCTTTTCCTTCCTTTTCCTTGAGCATAGTTTTCACACAACCTTCCAGAGCACAGTTTTAGAATATATGGAGGCACTGGTAGGACCCTGCTGTTTCATGGTAAGACACACACTCTGTTCAGACCAAGGACTGTCCTTGTATGGTACTCTCCTGTTCTGCTGATGGATCCTGTTCCATGGACAAGAATGGCTAACTAGGTGTAAACCTGCAGATCCATGGCAGAATTCTAATTATTTAATGGGAGATGGGGATGTGGTTATACATTTGGAAACAAAAACCTGTGGATGCGGCCAGTCCAAAATAAAACAAAATGAAACAATCAGCGAGTACAAATTGTTTTAGAAGATAATTGCTTTCTAGTTTATGTGCTTTCTTGTTTTGTATTTTAAGAGGCCCATAACAAAAGAGAACAGCCAGGAATGGTGACAATAGCTGCAAACAATTCTGACAATTATTTGTAGGGGGGTTGTGTTGTGTTATTTTTCCCCCCTGAATATTTTGTTATGAAATCTTACGGAAACAGTAAGTGTTGGCTGAGATGTTTGGGCAGCCATAATGTGTGTTATGGTTACTTGTAGAGAAGTATGAAAGTGATTGTCAGTGAAAGCTGTAGATGCCTGAAACACTATCGCACCAACTCACATTGTCTCTGTTCTGCTCTGCCTCACACACGCTTCCTTTCAGTCAAACCGCATCAGAGGGGGCTTGCAAGCATCTCAGAGAGGATTTCCTGTGGTCGGCAGTACTTGCCTGAAACATGCTGAAGAAGCTGGTGGTAGAGATGAAAAGCTGCACTCATTTCTGTAATTTACCTTGAAGCAATCTGAAATGATGCACTCCTCTTAATAGCACTTACTCATTTTAAATGGCATTTTGTATATTTTCGCCACATAATATGTTTTATGAACTGGTTGTACAGTTTTAAAATGCATTTTGTATATGTACAGTTTTAAATTGCATTGTGTATATTTTAGCTATAAATATATTGTATGAGCTGGTCACTCGACCGTAATAAATAAAAATGTTAATCGCACTTTAGTGACATGGTGGAAGGGTCACCCTAGATTGTACCTACCTGATGGGAAGTAAGCCAGATCGTTGGATGTAAAAGGAGCAAGGTATTGTTAGGCTCCTGTGCCAGCACAAGTTCACAGGCATAAATATTAAGGAACCATGGGAAATTCCTTATGTATGAATATGGTGTACTCGGGTGACAGGGGAGTGAATGCATTGCTTGCATATATTTCTGTCTCCAGCTATGACTTTCTCTTGCCCTAAATACTGGCCTCAGATCTTTCTGTTGGAGTTTTTACAAGCCTGCATGCTGCCTCTGATAGGTGTGGCTGGAAGAGACCCTTCTGGGTTATGGTGAATGTCAATCTATCCAACAGTAGCCAATCATTCCCTCCGGCCTCTGAATTTGCTTTTGAGCTTTCCCCCCTCTCTAGGATCTGTTGAGATCTGTTGTTGAAAGCAGCTATGTCTGACAGTTTCCTGTTAATCTGTGAGTAATGTTTGTGCATATACCCTAGAGAGTTAGCTTTCTTTGTTTTATGTGGGAGCAGCTTAATCATGCCTTGGTATCGGTAAGTTCTGCTTATGTTACCTGATGATAGTTTTTGTAATCACTGCTGAAATTATTGGAACTTTTTGCTATGCTTTGCGACTTGTGTTTTTAAAAATAAAATAATTAATTTTTATCCAGGCTGTGGTTTATGGAGACAGGTGCAAAGGGGTTGAAGGTACTAACCCAGTGTCTGAGGATGTTGGGAGATTTTGAAGCATTTTGGGTTATGTTGTGCAGGGCTGGTTTGCAACCATGAGCAAAAACCTGCTTGTGTGTATTTTCCCTGGGCACCCAGGAGTAAGGGAGTCAGAGTGTATTAGGGAAGGCATATCCCAACTGTTAATGTGCTGACCTCCAGGACTTAACCTATCCAAGAAGAGAAGGCAGTATGGCTGAATGGTGAGAGGAACCTTCTGTGCAACCTGTGGGTAAAGAAAACTTCCTTCACACTCCCAGACCATCTGTATGCTTAAAAACTATTCAAGT